GAGACATTTATAGTTAAATGGATGCACATTGAGGTGATACTCTTAAGTGAAATAAATAGGACACACATGTGTAAATACCAAATAATTTCTCTAGTGTGAGAAACTGAAAGGGTAAATAAGGATTAAAATGATTAAGATGAATAATTGATAATTTGAAATAGGAAGAAAAGGTCCAAAGGGGTGGGGGAGGTAGAGGAAAGGAAAGAGGGGAATGGAATTAATATGAGAAAATGAAAAAATGGAAACAAAGTCTTTGTAAATATGGAGGGGTGGAGGGGTTGAAGGGAGGGCAGGGGAAGGGCAAAAAATAAGAAGCAAGAGAGAGTATGTAAAGGTGCAAATTTCCAATGATGAATGTAACTGTATTTTATACCTACAATGTACCAATAAAAGGATATTTAAAAAAACAAAGGGGTAGGGGAAGTGGGAGGGGTAGGGGAAAGAAAAGAAGGGAAAGGAAAAATTATGAAAAAAGGAAAAAATGGACACAAAGTCTTTGTAAATAGGGAAGGGTGAGGAGTGAAGGGTGCAGAGGGAATGGGGAAAAATAAGAACCAAGATGAGTCATGCACAGGTACAAGCACCCAATGATAAATGTAAATGGATTGTATACCTAAACTGTACCAATGAAAGAATTTAAGGGAAAAAAAAGATCTCTCCACCCTTAGATTCTATAAGTAGTTGAAACTTCCATCTGCGTGGCCATAGTTCTTCTGTTTCACACACAAGCTGAGATGATGAATAGATCATTAATCCATCTTCAGTGTGTGTCTGGATGTATGAGTGTGTACGTGTGTGTGTGTGTGTGTGTGTGTGTACGAGTGGGAGGGGGCAAAGGAACTCAGTGTTTTCTGAGTTCTTCTGATCCATCTGCAGAATCACATGTAACACGAACCAAGCTTTAACTTGCACTTGCAAGCACATCATGTTAGCAGAGCAACTGAGAAATTCTGCCTTCCTCTCTCCCCAGTTCAATCCCCATCTCCAGCGTCATTTAAGAGGGAAGCAGGGCTGCCCCCAGGGGCTCCTGTCCTGCATTCCCACACCCAGCCTGTCTTGCGCTCCAGGATTCCCCTCTCTCCAGGCCACACAGCCCCTTGCTCCAGGCCCCTACTCTCTCCCCCTGAGTATTCCAGGCTCCCTCTGCCCTGCACTGCCCAGCCCCAGTGAATCCCCTTCCAATCTGCTCTCGAACGCAGACCCCATCTCATCTCACCCTGGCCACCAGTCCCTGCCTCGGCATCCACTGCCTCCTCGCACACGTGGCTGGTGTTGTCTCCCAGCATGCAGAAAACTTCAGTCGAACTTGTGTGGCCTCATTTCTGAAATCGTGCCTCCCAGTTCCACACACTGGCCAGAGCAAACCACATTCCGTACTTCAACAACTCAGACTTCCTTCTAAGCAGATTTCAACCTTGCCTACGCCCTGCTCACCTACTGACACTGGACACACACTTGTCTGGGTCCTGCCCTGATCCAGGGAGGCCATGGGGGGCCCCTGCACCCGCAATCCAAGGCGACTCCCATGGTCCTGGAGGTATTGCCTCCTGCCTGGCTACAGGCAGAGGAACCCTCTGGCAGCAACCCTCCCTCAGCCCAGCCCCACCCCACCGCCAGTCTCCACACCCGGAACCACCTCTTCTTCCCAGAAGCGATTTAGATGCTCATCCTGTCTGCTGCCTCCCAACCCCTCGGACATCGCTTGTTCAAGTGTTCACCACACTGCACTGTACTGTATGACGTGAGTTTAGCTCTGTATCAAGGACCTGCGAGAGGGCGGCCTCCAGTGTTCAGAGGCGTGCTCGTGTGGGTGAAATGCGATCCAGCAGCCTCGTAGGTTACGAGAAGTCTTCGACGACAGGAAGAGTCAGTCCGTGTTCACTTTCGTCTCGTTTTTTAAGAAACCGCCACAGCCACCCCAACCTTCAGCACCCGAACACCCCACTGGGTCAGCAGCCACGGACACCGAGGCCAGACTCCCCCAGCAGGGAGAGCACACGCTCCCTGAGGATTGGGTGACTGTTAGCAGCTCTTTAGCAATAAATATCTCAGTTAAGGCATTTACACTGTTTTTAACCTTGTACACCACACTCTTAATGGACTTCAAGAAAGTGCAAGCATGGATTTTAAATCCACTTGGAAATCAAACAAATTTCGTGTGACTCCCTTGGTTGCATTATTCTCTTCATTGTGGGGATTTTGAGTCGAAGTTGCTTCAAGCTGTGTCCACCGTTGCCCGATTTCTCTTCTTCCACTCCACCCTCCGAGTTCGGCAGAGGTGAGAGTGCGGACTGTCCTGTCCACCACTATACCCCTCAGCCCAGTCGACAGCCTAGTAGCAGGTGCTGGGCTCTTTGCAAGCGCTCAGATCTGCCGTTCAGGACCCGCGGGAGCCGCGCCGTCCGCCGGTGCAGACGCGCAGTCCGGCCTGCAGAGGGCGCCGGCGCGCTGCTCGGTCTCCCCCGGGAAGCCGCGGGAAGCGGCCGCTGGCTGTCAGTCAGGCGGCGCCGGACGCTCAGTGGCCGCTTCGCTGCGCCGAAGATTCGGGAGGAGTTGTTTATCCCCGGCCGAGGCTTAAGCGCTGAATGCTGCCCCTCAGGTCTGCCGAGCAGCGCCACACCCCCGCCTGGCGGTGAGCGGAGCTGAGCCCTAGCGCCCGGCGGGTTGGGGTGACGGGCCGGGGTCGGAGGGGAGGAAGGCGGCGATCGGGGGTTCGCACCCCGCCCCGGGGGAGCGGGGTGCCCCCGCGTGCCTCTCGCCCCTCTGCCCCGAGGTAAGGACCGACCCTGAGCGTCGGAGCGGGCCAGCCCTTCCCGGGGACCACACTGCCTCGGCCTCCGTCAGCCATGAGCGCGTCCCGCTGCCCGCCCGCTGCGCACCCGGCGCTGCCCAACGCCTCGGAGCCCGGCGCGCCCCCTTCTCCGGGCAACCAGAGCCGCGGCGGCTTCTGCGAGCAGGTCTTCATCCAGCCCGAGGTCTTCCTGGCCCTGGGCGTCGTCAGCCTGCTGGAAAACGTGCTGGTCATCCTGGCCGTGGTCCGCAACGCCAACCTGCACTCGCCCATGTACTTCTTCCTGTGCAGCCTGGCCGCGGCCGACATGCTGGTCAGCGTGTCCAACGCCCTGGAGACCGTCATGATCGCCGTGGTCAGCGGGGACTACCTGCGCCTGGAGGACCGCTTCGTGCAGCACATGGACAACGTGTTCGACTCCATGATCTGCATCTCCCTGGTGGCCTCCATCTGCAACCTGCTGGCCATCGCGGTGGACCGGTACGTGACCATCTTCTACGCGCTGCGCTACCACAGCATCATGACGGGGCGCAGGGCCCTGGGCCTCATCGCCGGCATCTGGGCCTGCTGCGGCGTCTGCGGCGTGGTGTTCATCGTCTACTCCGAGAGCAAGATGGTCATCGTGTGCCTCATCACCATGTTCTTCGCCATGATGCTGCTCATGGGCACCCTCTACGTGCACATGTTCCTCTTCGCGCGGCTGCACGTGAAGCGCATCGCGGCGCTGCCCCCCGCCGACGGGGCGGCCCCCCAGCAGCACTCGTGCATGAAGGGCGCCGTCACCATCACCCTCCTGCTGGGCGTGTTCATCTTCTGCTGGGCCCCCTTCTTCCTCCACCTGGTCCTCATCATCACCTGCCCCACCAACCCCTACTGCATCTGCTACACTGCCCACTTCAACACCTACCTGGTTCTCATCATGTGCAACTCGGTCATCGACCCGCTCATTTACGCCTTCCGCAGCCTGGAGCTCCGCAACACCTTCAAGGAGATTATCTGTGGATGCGGTGGCCTGAACTTGAGATAGGATGGAAGTCAGGACCCGGAGACTCACCGCCCAGGCCCCCTCGGCTCCACACCCGGCCGCAATGCTTAGAAAGGAAAAGGAACATTGCTGGGAGACAGAAAAGTGTGTCACCGACCATGAGGTTCTTTGGAAAGGGACAGAGAACAGGCTGGAGGGGAGGGCCTGGGGTGGGGCGGCCAGTCTCCAGCGAGGCCCCAGCGTGTGTCCGCCCAGGCCAGGCGCCTGCCTGCCGGCTGCCCACTTCACGGGTCCCCTGGCTGCCTCGTCAGCCGGGCTGGAGGAGCCTGGTGAACAGGAAGGTGGCTCAAGTATCCTGCAAGCAGAGCTGTTCTCAGCTCAGCCCTCCAGCTGCCAGCTACACAGGTAGCTATCTTTGTGCTTATTCTGTGAAAGATTGAGTTCCTAGCCTATTAGCTTATTTACGGTAAAACAACAGTCTCAAGACAGCTATATCTCTGTGGAAGAAGCGATAAGATGCTGCATGCCCTTCTTACCCTCTCATTCATGCCAGCTTCTAAAACAGCAGGGAGCTGTCGCCCGCTTCTACTTCTGCTGCTCTTGTGGTGGTTGCTATTGTTGGGGTTCTGTGCATGAAATCTAAGGTCGCTTTCAAAACCTGTTGGAAAAGAGAAAGTCCTGTGGGTGATCAGACTATAACTGTTGTGTTCTCGTATTTTAAGACCTTGCAATTTCAAGGTATACGTTACTTTTTTAAAAAACAGAAAGATATTCTTATTATTCTTTACTGCTTTTAAAACAAGAGAGGAGCTCGTGGGTGGAAGGATATATATGTATAATTTTTTTTCCAAGAAACTGTTTCATTGTTCTTTGAGAAACTGCAGAACTACCCTGTGGCTTCCTCCAGAGCTCTTTTCTGCTCAGAGTAACTGTGACTCTGTCACACAATGAAGTCAACACTTCATGTTTCCGAAAGAGACCATCTTCTGGCTCATTGTCCCTTTTGCGCCGCATGATGTTAGAGTTGGGTGACACTGTTATTCACATTCGTACCTTGTCAAATAAAGCAATTCCTTCCCGTGAGCAGGGTTAGATTACAGGCCAGCGCTGTGTCTGGCAGGAAGTTGGGAGCATCCGCCAGGTCCTTTCTTGGCCTGGATCCTTTGCATTTGTCACACACACACACACACACACACACACACACACACTCGCACTGCCAGGAATTCATGTATTGTGCTGCATCTTTGGTGTGCCATCATGTGTTTATCTTATGCTGAAATATATCAGGATGGGGGTGTACTTGAATTTCTGCTCATATAAAACCAATCGTTTCTTGTGATTTTGTTTTGTATGTGAAGAATTTCTGCCTGTATAAACAAAGCCTCTTGTTTCTTGTGATGTTTGGAAATAATAAAATGCTTTGTGGCTGCTAAATGGTGTCACACTGTGGTACACCTCCTAGCATCCCCCTGGGTCCTGCCGTAGCCACTGCCTGTTACACTGAAGCCCAGGAACCGTTGCATAAATGGCTCAAATAGCCCCCTTCATCAGACAGCCTTTTCTAGGGCAATGCCTTTTAGCCTAACTACCAAAACCTCCCATTTAGTTTCCAAAAATACCAGGTTTGGGGCTTCTACACCACCATCACTCCTCATTATTTTAATCCAGACACCCAAATAACAAGACTCATCTGCTGCCACTCAGTAAGTCAACATGGAAAAGGGAAAACAAATTGTCTGGAAATTGTATTAACATTTCTTGGAATTATGGTGTGCTTTTTCTGTGTAAACAAGAGGAAAACAACTCACTTTTCTTCTTTTTACATCAGTTCCCACATTATTTCATCTCATGCTATCACCAAACCCCTAACATAGATGCGTCAAGGTGCAGATGAAGAAACTGAGTCCCAGGGTTTTGTGGCTGTGTCCAGCAGGAGTCTTGCCCAGGGGTGGGCCCTAGGACTCTGCAGCTGACTCGGACACACATCAGGATGTGGCCGCTCATTGGGGGACACTTTCTTCTTTCTTTCTGTTTTTCTTCCTTTCATTCTTCTTTTCCCCCTTTGGTACTGGGAACTCAACCCAGGGCCTTCCACTTGCTAGGCAGGTACAGTATTCCGCCTCTGAGCTACACTTCCAGACCTTTTTATTTTTTATTTCAAGACAGGGTCTCACTGAGTTACCCAAACTCGCCTCGAATTTGCAATCCTCCTGCCTCAGCCTCCTGAGTAGCTGAGATTACACCACTGCTCCGGGGTTGAGGACCACATGTCATTGGGGGCTTTTGGAGGTGCCCGATGTGAACTGCTTATCTGCAGACCACGGTGCCGAGCACCTCACGGGCATAGCTGCGTGGACCCTGCAACAGCCCTACAAGGAAGATGCGTCATTGTCCTTAATTTTGCAGAGGAAGCATCTGAGCAAAGACAGGTTGGGGACTTGTGCTTAGGAATTCTGCTGGGTGGGATCCAGATGGCCCTGGGGACATGCGCGGCCCGGGGAGCCCCTGCTGCCTGGTTCCTCCATGCACTGTCCGTATGTTTGCAGCTGAGTCCAGAAAGAGGTTACTGAATTCAGGGGGTCCAGCTTGTCGTGTTAAGCGCTAAAATTTTCCTAGGACTCCAGGTGGCCGGGGTGGGAGGCACGGGAGAGGTAAGTTACAGACCCTCTTCCTGGCATCCGTTTCTCAGGAAACTTCCCTGAAAGTCGGGGCATCCCGGCCTCCTCCACCACCCCGTCTCAGGTGGGCCTGGGGCGCCCACTGGCGGTCAAGTTTGAAAATGCGAATTTCCCTCCGGGGGCCCCCTAGCAGGACTTGGGCTCTGCTGCCAATGGACTTTCCAGCTCTACGCTCCCCACCCGCCGCAACCAAACACATTGAAAATAATTCATTTGGCAAAATAAAAGCACAGCACGATTTTCATCCATTTGCTCAGCGACACTCGCCTCCCACCCTCATCTCCAAGTCCGAGGCGTCAGGCGCCGGTCGGCCGGGTGCACGCTGGTCTTCTGGGGTGGATTTCGGTGCCTTTCGGTGGGGCTGGGAGCTAAAGGAGCCACGGGCCTCCTTGGCCGGAACCCACCTCAGCTCCACGACATCCGTTCTCCGCACAGTGCCCACCGCAGTCTCCGAAAACCAGGAAGCAGAGCAGAGCACACGTCCGCGTCTCCTGTCGCATTCTGAATAAAACCCAGCGGCTCAGCTGGCCACTGCTCAGCTCTCCTGTCCATAGCCCCTCCTCGCTTACCGGACTCCGGTCTGCCGGCCTCAATCCTGCCCCAGGACCTTTGTGTGTTCTGTCTCCTCTGTCTGAAGTCTCTTTCCTGACCTTCCTGGGACTGATGCCTCTGATTACACATTCTCCACCCCAAGTCCCCAGGAAATGACCTCGGTCATTCATGTCATCACTGTTTTATCACAGATCTCTTATTGCGATTATGTATCTTTTGGTTTGTTTGTTTGATTCTCATCAATCTCTCCAACTAGAAAGCAGTGCCAGGTAGATAAAAACAGTCACTAAAAATGGGTTTGATGCATAAGTGACGACTCACACATTTAAATCCGCAGGCATTCCAACCAAGACAATAGAAAACAGAGCGGTCTCCAATGTGGGTGAGAACAGCACCCGGTGTTGAGTTGAGAAAAGCAGTCTGTGGCTTCTGCACCAGCAGATCAGAGGCCGAGTTCAGACACCTGAAACCTCGCAGGTCCATGGGGGATTGTGACCCCCATGACACACCCACCTGAGGGAGGCACCTGCACCAGTAAGCGCTGATCACCCTTAAAGAATACCAGCCCCAACACCTCAGGAGCCGGAAATCCCTCCCTGTCACCCTTCTCATGGGGATGTCATCTACCGTATGTGAACATGGGGGCATGCAGGGGCCGATGTAGATCTAGAAACTGGTAAGAGCTAGATGACAAAATACAGAATTTAAAACAAAAAAACTCCTTCCACAGAAGAACTCAACATTTTGCATCTAGGAACATCTTTATAGGACTGAAATTACTATGATGTTATCCAGTGCTCACTGCATGCAGATACAATCTAAGCACTTAAATATATTAACTCCTTTCATCCTCACCAAACCCCACCAGCTAGGCACTGTGAGCTCTTAGCCCAGAGATAGGGACCTTTGGATCACAGAGGTTAAGTCCTCCACCCAGGCTAGAGAGCAGGTGAGAGGGGATGGTAAGAAAATGGTCACCAGCCCTCTGGGTCACAGCGGACATGCGCCTAATTCACCTTCCTTTAGTGCTCAGAGAGACACAAAACCCACAAGGAAGGACCCCTGAGTCCAGGCTGTAACATCAGAAAGGAAGATTTGGGGGTCCAGACAGAACTGGCTGTGAATCCTCAGGCTAGTCTTTTCACTTCCGGGAGCCTCGACTGCTCTGCTGTAAAATGGGGGTTCCACCTTCTTCCTTCTGGAAGTTTCTGAGGCAGCCTGTTGTTTTTTGGTGTTTTGCACACTGCCTAGGTGACACAAGTCAATGGCTGTCACCATGCCTAGAAAATAGTCAGTCTCAGAAAAGGTGCTGTTGGAGTAAGTGAAACAGCCTGGCAATTGAGGAGGGCAAGCAGCACATGCCAGGGCTTGCATGTTACTAACACAGGTCACTGCCCAGGGCCCTGGCCAAGGTCCGCAGCCCCCACAGATGCCTCTGTCAGGGAACTTACTACACTGTTGACATTTTCTGTTGACGTCTCTCTCTTTTTTTTTTAACCAGGATATGAGCTAAACTAAAAATGGGCAGAGAGACAAGGGCACTAGTCAATGCAACAAATGTAAGCATGGAGCTCTGACAGCAGAGTTTGCAAGCCGAGATGTCTTGATTCCCAGAGTGTCCAGTCTCTGGAGTCAGAGAGACTTGTATTCAAGCCCTGCGTCTCCTATTTGCCCTGTGACGATCACTGAAATTCAACTTTCTCAGCTGTAAAATGAGTCACTAACAAGTACTCTGCAGCTGGGGTTCAAGGCTCTCTTAAAAAGCAAGTAAGAGATGCGGATGTAGCTCAGTGGGGGTAGATCAGTTACTCAGTGTAGTGATTAGATCTTGGGGATGTGATACTCATCAGTAGATTAGTCACTGATGGGTTTACGGCTAAATGTGATTCAGGAGGCGAAGCCTGGTTAGGGGAGTTGAATCACTGGGGGCATGGCCTGGACGGTGTATCCCTCTCTCTCCTCGACCTCTCTCTGCTTCCTGCTTGCCATGCCAGGAGCAAGTCTCCTCTCCCATACCCTGCTGCCAGGCTGCCCTGCCTTGGAACCCACTATGGACTGAAACATCTACAAACCATGAATCCAAATAAACCTTTTCTTCTTTAAGTTGTGGGTTAGGGTATTGTGTCTCAGTGATGAGAGAGCAACTGAGACACCTAGCATGAGTGAGGCCCAGGGTTCAACCCCCACTACCACAAAAAAGAAAGAGTGAGTGAGAGGTGGGGGGTGAGGGGATAAATGGGAAGAACTCAGCATAGTAGCTCAGTCCTCCCAGGATCTAACACTGGTCCTGAGCAAACCCTCAGGTATCTCCCCGTGGTGTCTAAGACCTATCTCAAAGAAGCTACACTCACTTTCAGCTCATTCACCAGGAGAAAGAATCACTAAAGAGAAATCAGAGCGATGCCCCTCTAAGTCTAAGAAGGGCTGCAGGCGAATCTTGTAAGCCAAGTAGGACTCCAGCAGCTGCTATGTTGTGACTTTATCATTAAATCCTCCATTGGTTGGCATAAGGGAGGCTTTGGGACACATCTCTGGCACTGTATTTCTGGACTCATTTGTGCAAATTCATTCAGCTGTATTATTTGTGTGTTTTTACTGAGGTGTCATAAGTACGCAGAACAGTCCTTGCAATTTGTCCTCTCCGCCACGTTGCTCATTCGGTCACAGCAAAATCGTGACTACTTTTCCCAAGAGCAGTCAAAGGAGAGGAGGTGGAGAATGTGGATGAAGTTGTGAGCTCTGCCAGCCAAAGAAACACATTTGCACAAAATACCCCAGAGGTCAGCTCATCTGCACAAACACTGCATGGGTCACTGGCCATCAGTCAGCCCGAGCCCTCACTGCTTCACTTTTAATGGTAAGAGGAAACAGTTCTTGTGTTCCACCCATAGATTCTGTGATGTGTGCGGGATTTTTGAAGAAGTTAGCACATCCTACACGACATCAGAGGGAACACAAGAGCGTTGTCACAGATGGTCCTTAGGGAGAAGTGACCCAAGAGTGGCTTTGAAGGACTCTGTTTATCAGGAAGGAGGAGCTGAAAGGATGGAGGAGCAAAATGGAGGAAGCTCAGAGCTGACATTCAGCAGAGCACAGAGCTCTGGGCTCCAGGGACTCAGGAAGGAGTCCTGTTGTCTTGGGCTCATTGGGTCATCCTCGGGGCTGGCAGCGCCACACTCAGTGCACTCAAA